GACACATAATTTATGATTCTTGTATATTTGGTTACTATCAAGTTCAGATCCATCTCAAATGCATAACAATAACAGTAACGATACAACTGATACCAATGTTACAACTAATGAACCCAAACAGTGAACACAATAAGTGCAGGACGTTTGTGTAAATGAGAGATTTAGTTGAATTTGAGCAGATTATTTCCTGTGAATATTAATGAGATTTGATCAGTTTCTGATATTTTTAGGAACTTTTTATATGTATGTATTATGTATTTGTTTTCATTTTTTTCATTTTTTGACATTGTCATTTCATTGTTCTATTAGCTCCTTGATTGTTTGGTTGTGTTCAGGTCAAGTTTAGATCTTATATAATAATAATAATAATAATAATAATAATAATAATAATAATAATAATAATAATAAAACTTTAGAAACAATTTCATTTAGTTTTCTTCACATAAATGAATCAAATGCGGACATATAGGCCTTCTGTGTATATTTTCTGGTGTTTTGTAAGCTTTCTTACACCCCTTAAACTCAAGAAGGCCTTGTGACCCTCCCATAGAGCTTTGTCAACCCCTCGTGGGGGTCATGGCCCCCAGGTTGGGAACGACTGTAGTAGCACATAATCAAAGCCTGACTAGTCGTGCTCTCCTAGTAGGAGGATCTGTCAGTTTTAAATGAATCCAATAATACAAAGCAAGCAGTCAATACAGAGTCTAACAGAGTAATAGACCACAACCAGTGCAAGAGCCCGTGGGTTATAAAGTGCATCATGTAAACCAGCAGTGATGGTACTCAACACGTCATATCAACGGTATTAGGAATGGAAAGATATGAAAAATGAATTGTGATACAAATTATGGTATCAAGGCCAAAGACATCAGCTTAGAAAGAAAATGATATGTATTGTTTTACAGTTAACCCTACCTCAGAAACAAAAAATGATTCTATAATTTGAAAAATATAAGAGTAAATATTGTATATTAGATTTTGTCTGAGAAATAAAGAATGTTTTTCAGTGATAGAGTCTTAAATATCATTATCCTGCCAGCGTAGGGCCCTTCTGTGTGGCGTCTGCATGGGTTTCCCCATTAGGTTTTTTCTATAGCGTGCTTGCTCAAGGCTCTGGCTCAGATTTGGAGCTGCATATATATTTATAACACAATAGCCTTAGTCCACAAAGTAAAAGTCATCCTCTTACTGTTACGCTGACAAAATAGATCAGTTCAGTCATTTTATTATCCAAGATGGAAAACTTAAGTTACATTCAGGGGCACAAACATAAAAACAAACAACACAAGTAGCAAAACAAAAAAAGGGTTTCTGTACATACAATATACAGTAAAACCATTTAATATAAAAACAGTAATACTAAAATTACATGTGCAAATAAAGTGCAAAAATGAAAAATACATGTGCAAATTAAGCAGGGTTATTGCACAAGGAACGAAGGAGTTTTTACTCCTGTTGCACTTCAGCCTCGGTACTCTAAATCTACGGCTTCCCAGCAACCTCAACAATGTGGTTCAGGTGGTTTTTATCCTTTATATTCAGGTTCAAGCAATCATGGAAAAGTGAGAACACATACAACAAACAACTTATAAAACAAGGACATCATTTTCCTGTCAACATTAAAACATTTAACTTCCTGAGGAAGTACAAACATTGCTGTCCCTTCTTACAGACTGCATCAGAATTTACATCACATTTCAAGTTATTATCCATGACTGTTGACAGATGGTGGGTGGGATGATTTTTTTCTGAAGAGTGGTCCCGAATCCTAATGTATTTTTTCCCCAACATCGGACAAACGGGAGAGGGTCACTTTTGTCGATGGTTTAGGTTCATAGCTGGTTCCTGGCCAACTTCTCTCCTGACCTGTTTCTAGAACGTTTCCCCCTCTTACAAAAGTCAGGCACTGGTCTGAAAACATTCTAAACTTTAGGGTTCTTATTTCAATCCAGCACTTTCTTTGACCAAAAGAAGAAGCATTTAGGGACATGTTCTGAAGGTTTGGTTGACTTAATGAGGAGAGACCCAGCAGCAAAGGTCCACACCTCCTCCTTTAGTAAGCAATCTCATAAAGTCTCCTAAAGCAAGACACCCAGGTTTGTGTTTTGAATGGGACCCTGACCTCTGACCTCTATGTGGAAGGAAAAAGACAATTTCCCAACTGAGATATTACTGTAATATTACTGTAACTTACTGTGTTAAGAATGCTATGGTTCATTGTGAGGGTGAACTATGTAGCTGCCACACAACAAGTTGATTTGTGATGACTCAAAACAAAGATCAAATACAGTAGTTTTAATATTGACCCATCTTTAGTGCAACAGCACCTCCAAGAGCAAGACTATTGTCTCTCACTAATACACTGTAGCACTGCCTACCACAGTTACATATGTGTTGCTGACACCTACAGGAGTCAGAGAGAAGTCCCACATGCTGGCTGGAGAGCAGATACTGCTATCAGCCAACTGTAAAATGTCACCGAGTTGGACACATGACATTGGTTAGTTTATAATAAATGCTGTATACAACCTTACAAAATATAACAGAAAACCCAAGTAGAGAGACAGATGCTGAGTAGATTTGGAGCCTAGATACAGAATGTATTGATGCACTGATAAGCTTTGGGGGTATGATGGAGAACTACTTAATCAGTGGTGTTTACTGGGGTTTGAGGCATCAAAAGTAATACATCTATAAATCCACAGACAGACATAATGTGACCACAAGATTACTATATGCAACCTCCCCCCAGTTTAAATATTGAATTATATGCATGAGAATGTATTCCTTCCAAATACTTTAATGTAATCATGAAATAATACTGCCACCATGTGGATCAACTGTGACATTACTATTTACTCCAACACCGAGGGGAGATGGCTCACAGTCATGAGCAGTTCCATGTGATGAGTAATGGAGTATAGATCATTCATTCCCACCTGTAACAATGCTGTGTGCTCAGATGGTGAGTGCTGGTTGGAAGTATACAGAACAGGGTGATACTCAGTATGTACAATCTGTGCCTGATCTATAACACAAAAGTGATTCATCACACAGCAAATTCATGAAAACTTTAAAGTGGGTGGGGCGTGGCTCTCTCACACAGACACACATTTAAACGTCTAACTTTAGCATCAGTATTGTTATCCAAACAGCCTTGCTGATTAGGTCACATGGTGCTCGCCACATTTTTATGTTGTGAAAGTGAGCGCTGCTTTTATCTTTGTTAAACACACCCAACTGCCAACTGGTCAGTTTAGTTATCAAAGACACCCCATGTTTGGTTTTCTCTTTGCTCCACATTATTTTAGGGCCTAACATTATTGTTGGTGACAGTTAGCTTCTTTTAGCAAGTCCATCTGAAAACTCCATAAATCACCTCGGACCGCTGTCATTAAACTGGCCTCAGAGGCTGTGTTCACTGGGAGGCAGCTACATTAGTATTTAGCTAATGGCAGCTACATTAGTATTTAGTGGAGTTGAGGCAGAGCAGCCGGAGGACGTTTTCTCCATAAAATATGATCCAAATGTTTTTAGGCATTTCTTTTGCAATGAAAAGTTAAAAACTGAAGGCAACTTGTTCCAGTGAGACAGGGATTGGTTGAATTTGCGTTAATTTTTACCATCCCAACTTCCTGGAGGGACTGCTTTATGCTATTTTTGCCACGCATTTCTGTTTTGGGATTATTTGTAAACTTGACGTATGATTTGTGCACAAGGGTGACTCATCACTAATTCATTTTAAAAAGGATACTGCTATTGTTGCCATCACCACTGAAGTGAACAGCCCAATGTTTTTTAACTTAGATCAGAAAATATATCTTCCCACGACAGTGAGTTCCACTTAAGCCTGGGTATAGTTTGAACACTGTCCTACAAGATCTTTAAAACATCCTCACCTAACCCTAACCTCAGCTTCCAGACAGAGCTATTCCTTGAAGGTGCTTTGCTGCTCTTTTCAATACTCTGAAGGGTTAGGACATCGCAGCAGTGGACAATGTTGGAATGACAAATCATCTCTAGGAAGTGCACCACAGCAGCCAAACTTATAACACATTTAAAGTAATTTACTGTTACTAATACGTCGCTTTCTGTTTTAAATCACTCATTCATTACATCCTCATGACTCATGAGCCTACTCCAGTTCCCACGATGCTTCACCTGTTCCTGACTTGTGATTCTGAGGACTGAAGTGATTCTGCCACGGCTAAATTATCACATCCTACTCTGGACCATGTTAGGATTATATGTCACTGCAGTGTGAGGAGGAAGAATGGTTTGGTATTAAGTTCAAGAGATCAGTTCTTTAAAAAAAAAAATAGGTAGGTAGGTAGGTAGGTAGGCAGGCAGGCAGGCAGGCAGGCAGGCAGGCAGGCTGAAGAGAGAGAGGATGACACGTAGCAAAGGGCCACAAGTAAGATTCGGAACCTGGGCCACTGCTGCCAGTTTTTGCAGCAACTGATCGCTGCACAAAGGTTGTCTGGTGCGATGAGTCTTCATATCCCAGTGGTGCAGCGTCCAGCTCAACATGAAGTGATGGAGCCACCATGCAGGACTATACCTGTGCATACTGAGGGTTGTGGTTTTAGAGATACTCAACTAATATAAATACCTGCGGAATAATGCCTTGATTATGGAGGATATTAACATCATTGTACACCAACTTAAGTCATGGCTACTATGTTTCCCAAAGGAAATAGTACAATACTAATGCTGACTCACTTGGATGTTGGAGCTTCACTGTGCAGAGTTAGTTTT